TATGTACAGAATGATTATTTACACAGAGCTATACAGTAGTGCAGTTAAGATAAGTGAGATATGTGGATAATTTCTAAAGAGGTATATAAAGTGCTAGTGGTTGTGAGTGGTGGTTCAGTCCATGTTATTATTGTGTGTTTGGGGGTATGGATGGTTATGATAAAGCCATTTTAACCATCATAGTGGGAAAAATTTGCGATACATTCAGTTTATTTGATATATCGTCTACTGCCATGTAGAGGCTTTCTCTAACCAACTCTTCCAAACAAGCAAAACAATGTTTCACCTTTTTTTTTTAATTTTGCTGTTATGAATTTTATTATTAACATGTTTGTGTGTAGGGTCTGATATATAACTCTTGTTTTCTTTTTTGTTTCTCTGAGCACAGTCTAATTTGGGGGGAATTTGCTGGGAAATCCACCCCCGGGAAGTGCTGAAACTTTTTGACGATCAGTTAATTAAGTGTATTTGATTAGCAGCACTTGGCTGCAACTTACACTCTTACTTCATATGGACACAGTAAGGCTGTACTGAGTTTTTCTGGTTTTCTATTTTTTCAAAGGATTGAGTCCTATTAGAAAAATGTGACCGTCTTTTATTTTTTATTCCACTAGATTCCTTTAAAGCTGTCTCTTTGAACAGTTAGTCTCTAAATAAACAAGCACCTGATGAAACAGGACAAACACGCCAAGAGCGGCTGTATTTTTGGCTAACAATTAAATCTGTCGTTTCATTTCAACACGGCTGTTATAACAGCATGATCAAATTTACACCACCACCCCCGTTCTGAGCTTTACTCATCAAACCAGCCCAGTTCATTGTTTATAACCATAAAAGTCTCTGCAGTCAAGCTCGCTTACCAAGGAGGCATATTCCTCATAGCAACATCATGACTCACTTATGTTTGCATGTCTGCGTGAGTTCGCGGGGATCTCAGATTTACTTTCAAATAAACATGCAGGCATGGAATAAGTTTGCAAGTGTTTCCTTGAGGTTTTAAGCTTCAAAAACTCTCACCAAAAGGCCATTTAAAGCCCTGCATGAATCAGTTTTTGTATATTTTTGATTAAAATGCAGTAAAAATGTTTAACATGGTCATTTTAGCAAGTATAACCCTTTAGAATTGAGAATTTAAGCCAAAGCATTGCCCTAAGCTCCTTTGTCTAAGTTAAAAACATTAAAATGAACAATAAAGACTGATGAATGAAAATTTACAGGCGCTCTATAAGGAGGAGTTTGAAAAGAACAAGGGGAAAGGTTTCAGCGCCGTGGCTGACACTCCAGAGATGCAGAGAGTGAAGAAGACACAGGACCAGATCAGTAACGTATGCTCGGTCCACCTTAAAGACCACCAAGAATCAAATTCTCCGATAACATCTCCATTTATCCATTATCTCTCCAATTATAACAAATGATCTTCCTTCTTTTTTTCCCTCCTTCTTTAAAACATTATTGAAGGTTGTGATGCGGCTTTGCTATCTGCATGTCTGCATGGGCTTCCATACCATCTTATTCTTTTTTACATGTAAAAGTCTTTGTTAATCATCCTTCGTTGTCTTTGATTCAGTGCTGCATTCAGGTTGTGCTACATTTGAGATGAAATTAAAAATAATCATAATAATCCCAGGATGTTACAATTGCAGATGTGCCTTGCAAAATAATAAAAGCATAGATGAAAAGTTCTAAAGAGATATCTGCTTAGTTTACAAGCTTCACTAAAATGTAAGCATTTGCAAAATGTCTTAGATTTTCCACTTCAGGCTGCAAAGAAGCCATGAAAAGAACTATTTTCTTTTAGCGTGCATGGTAGACGGGCTGCAGGATTGGATTTTTTGTTGCTGTAATAACAGATTGTTGTAACAGTAAAACGATGCACAGTGAAACTGAATGCGGCTTCGTTTTAAAACTCGACTTCCGTGTTTTTAGCTGATGTCAAAGATAAAACGATGCATGCATTCGATATGTAACAAAGCTAACTGTTTCCTTCCACTTGTGTCATTTAACTTGTTTAATGTTTAAAGAAATATTGGATCATTGTTGGGAATATGACCATTCAACTTTCTTGGTCAGAGGCAGATAAAAAGATTGACAACACTCTCATGTCCGTATGCTAATAATGAACCACCAGCCAGTTGGCTTAGTTTAACCATTAGGCCTCTTAATATCAATAACATTACCCCCCAAGAGCTGCAGATTCGTTTTTCCACTGTTTTCACAGAGAAAATGTTCACTAGTCAACCTTATACATGCTTCAAGAGGAATTTGGGGGACAGACCCAACAGTTTACGACTGTTAGCGGCTTCATATTAACTGCTTTAAACCGTCCTCATGAAATCTAGTCAATAACAGCTCTAAGTCTGTAAGGCCAAAAGGAAAAATATAGACCGTTGCAGTTAAACCTTATAGCAATAAGGAAAGTCAGTACACACAGATGTTATTGTACCTGGGCTACAATGCAACCAGGATTGATGCAAAAGAAAGGAAGCAGAGCATTGCTACATATTTTTTTAGTCATAGTAATTTCAAGTGGTATCTCCATCTTCTCAAAAAAAAAAA